ATTGACCCAGAAATAGATGAAAAAGAAATATTGAGCAGTATTCGAAGTGATTGTGAAGTTTTGGCAATTAAATGTTTAAAGGGTAGAAATAATGAAACAAAAAAGGTTAGATCACAACGAGTCAAAATTGTATTTAGAGGTAATAAATTACCGGAAAGAGTTTATATACATTCAGTGAGTTGTAGGGTTGAACCATTTATTCAGAAAGTAATACAGTGCCACAATTGCTGGAGGTATGGTCACGTACAGGCCCAATGTAAAAGTAAAATACGTTGTAAAAAGTGTGCAGAGTAACATAAAATGGAGGTATGTAAAAGTGAATTAGTGATATGCGGTCTATGTTTTCGAAATCATCTAGCGGATGATAAAGGCTGTGAGGTTTACTTAAAAAATAAAAAAATTAAAGAGATTATGGCAATGCAGAATATAACATATTCCGAAACAAGAAAGATAGTGCAAAACAATGGATACGCTGAAGCAGTTGGTAACACCAATCAGTTTAAAACATATGAAAGTAGTTACCCAGAAATCATTAATACCACTGCACGGAATTCAAGTACATCAAGTAGTAATAGGTATCAAATACTATCAAATTGGAAGGAAAAAGAAGAATATTATGACAAAGAAGTGTTAATGAGAATAAATAAGCCATATAATAGGAATAATATGAGAAATTTTTACAACAGAAATTTTGAACATCGGTCAGGGGTAGATTTAGTAGAAAGAAATGATAGTACTAATTCAAACAGAAGGATTAAAAGAAATGAGATTAGAGAAATATCAACTGCACGGAGGATACAATTGAGAAGTGATATTATGAATATAATTAAAAAACTAGAGGATCAGAGATATGGGATAGATGTAAATAAAGAAGAAAATATGAATTGATAAAAACAAAATTAGAATTAGTTTTAGAAAGTTTAGGTAAAGGTAATGAAAAAAAATCATTAGAAATGGTTTATTCTGAAGGAATTGATTAATTATTTATTTAGCAAAGATTAATGTGTGAGTATGTAGGTATAAATTTAAAATTTAAAAATTATAGATATATATATATAAATATATATTGAAAAAGAAATAATAAGAAGATAGTTAAGGTTCTATTGTATTTATTTGTTTATTTGGTTAAGTAATGTTAAATTAATTAATTAATTATTGTTATTATTTTTTATATATATAAGGATTAAATTATGAGAATAATGCAATGGAATATTAGATCGTTTTATGCAAATAAAGAAAGTTTAGAAGAGTGGTTATATAATAAACAATTAGATATAATAGCATTATCAGAAACCTGGTTCAATAAGAACAGGCAGTATAATCTAAAAAATTTTAATTGTATAAGAAAAGATAGGAAGGATAATAAAGGAGGGTCGGCATTATTTATAAATAAAAATATAGATAGTAGGGAATATGAAATAAATTTTGAATCAGTCGAAGATAATAATTGTCAAATGTGTGCAGCAGAAGTTAACGTTAATAAGGAAAAAATTTATTTGATATCATTGTATGTTGTTCCCAAGACGAACATTTCAAAAGAGCAATGGAATAGATTATTCTATAAAATCCCAAAACCTTGTATCATAATGGGAGATTTTAATGCTCACCATTATGCGTGGGGTTGCTCATATAGTGATAGATATGGTAATGAACTAATGGAATCAATTGAAGAAAACAATTTATATTTAGTGAACAATGGAAGTCCGACTCTGGTATTCAAAAATACAAAAACGGTGGTTGATATAACTTTATGTTCATCAGAAATAATAAATAAGATAAAGTGGGAAGTGCAAAAGGAGTCACTGGGATCTGATCATTTTCCAATCCATGTTGAACTTAATGTGAAAAATGACAAATATATAAATACATCAGTAAGAAAATGGAATTGTAAACGAGCAGACTGGGATAAATATAAATCCGTTATAGAAGAAAAATGCGAAAAGATAGATAATTCTACAACAGAAGTTAGTTATAGTGAATTATTAGATTGGATTGATAGTGCAGCTAACAGCAGTATACAAATTAATAAGGTTAGGAATAAAACCAGAAAACCAATGTGGTTTGATAATGAGTGCTTGGATTTAATTAAAAAACGAAGAGAAATAGAAGCAAAATACAGAAATAATGCAAACTGGGAAAACTTTATGGAATGTAATAGATTCAAGGCAAAAGTAAGAAGAATTTTCAAATTGAAAAAAAGAGAAAGCTGGAATAATTATATAAATAATATAAAACCTAAAACGCCCGCTAGGAAAGTTTTTCAAAATGGTAAGATCTATGCTAAATATGGGGTGAATCGGGAAATGTATCAAATGTAGTGATGATGTATTAGATGTTCTAGTAGACAAAATAGCACCACCAGGAGTTAGTTACAATATTGATGAAGATTTAAATGGGTATGCGGAAATGGAAAATGATTTATTAAGTAAACCGTTTACAAAATGGGAACTAGAAAAAACCTGGAATAAAAGAACGGATACAGCGCCTGGATTAAATAATATTCAATATTCAATGTTAAGAAACCTTCCAGAGAAAGGTAAACAAATATTACTAAAGATAATTAATAAATATTGGAAGAGGCCTGAATTAATTGATGACTGGCATATTAATAAAGTGATTTTATTAAGAAAACCAAATATAAATAGAAATGAAATAGATGCCTATAGACCAATAACTTTAAGCTCGTGCATAGCCAAGATAAAAGATAGATTGATAAAGAGGAGGCTAGAATGGTGGTTGGAACATAATAAAATATTCCCAAGAACTCAATTTGGTTTCAGAAGAAAACATAGTACAATGGATAATTTAAGTATATTTATTAGTGACATATATTTGACATTTTCTAAAATACATATGTTGTAGCACTATTTAGTGATATAAAGGGAGCTTATGACAATGTAATACCTAATATTTTAATGGATAAATTATTAAAGTTAGGTTTGCCATTAATTTTTGTACGAAGTATAATTTATAATGTTTTCCAAAGAAAAATAGTTTTAGAGATGAATGATAGAAAATATGAAAGATACTTACACAAAGGACTTCCGCAAGGGGGTATACTGAGTCCTTTATTATATGCTTTATACCAGGGCGAGCAACCTTTTTAACCCACGGGCCAATTTGACTTTCAAAATTTTATGGCGGGCCGCACTATTTATATATATATATACTAGCTGACCCGGCGAACGTTTAGCCACAGGAAATATTTTGTATAAATGTATAAACATATGAAATATAAATGAAAGGGGCAGCTAACACAAATTACATTGATAATTTACCCACTACAACGCTAAAATACTAACATACATATTTGAATTAGGTTATGCTTGCATAGCAAAACGAGTGAGATTTCAATAACTCTGAAAGTTTTCTCTCAAAAACAGTTTTATCTTCAGATTTTAATTTTAAATTTCTAATTTTTGCTAGTATCGCTCTTTCTGCAAGACATTTAACAACTATGTACTTCTAATGCACATCGGGATATATATGTACAGTAGGATAAGCCTACAAATCAGTTAGTTTTATCGGAGGTAACCATTTCGTTGCCAATGTGCAATATGAATTGTTTTTACAATATTGCAGCGAATAGAACGGATGAATTTAAGCTTTTTATAAGCTCAGAAAAATCTTGACCAAATTTCTATTAAAAACGTTCACAAAAAAGACGATAATAGTTAATTAAACAATTACCGAGCTAAATAAAAAATGATTGGACTACTAAAACGATTATTATAAAATAATGAAAATTCGGATTTGTATGTAGTTTTTCATTCCGCCTTAAAAAAATTAAAATAAAAAACAGAATTTTTAAAAAATGTTACGTTAGTACAACCTATGACAAAAATAAATTGCCTTTTCTTTTTAAATAAAACTGAAGCTTTTTCATAACCTCAAAAGTCTGAACTAAAATTAAGTCAAAATATTTGTTGACTAAGGCGGAAATAATGTAATTGCAACAAAATTAAAAATTGCCACAAGAATCACATCTAAAAACTGGAATTTTTTAGCATTTTTCTGAATGAATTAATTATTACCCAGCGACTTTTCTTTCGTGGACCTGTGTAATTGTTTGCACACGTACGTACTTCCAAAAATATAATTTATCATAATTTGATTTGTTTTTTTTTTTCTAAAGCGAAAATTCTTAGGGCAGACATGAGATTTATAAAAATTGCGATGTTTACTGAAAAAATACATTTTCTAAATCTAATTATTTTGCATGGTAAATGGCGAAGAAACATTTACATGAGAACAGCTGTTTTGTTAGCTTTGAACATTTGGAATCACAATTAAAATTTGTTCACATTTTCGTTTTCTGAAAATGAAATGTGAAACACAAGATACTGCAAAAGATAGTATTTTTATTACCAAAATGACGAGAATACTACAATTGTTTTTTCATATCCAAAGCGACAAGTTCTCAATTTTTCTTGCAATATTGTTAAACTAATATTTAAATGTATATTTATTTTATTAGGAAATGCTATTTCTGCTAACAACAGTTTTTACCAGTATTTGACCTTTACAACCGTATTTGATAAAATATCTAGAAAAATAATCTTTTGTTGAGAAATGCTTGGCGGGCCGCAGAAAAACGTCCGGCGGGCCGCGGGTTGCTCATCCTTGCTTTATATGCTTATGACTTAGAAAAAATTTGGGTACCTGGAACAAAGATCTTACAATATGCTGATGATGTTGTGATTTATGTAGAAAGGAAAACATTAAAAGATGCTTTGGAGATTATGACAAACAATATTGATTTATACAATTTATGGTTGAGCAAAAATGGTTTAACATTATCAGAAGAAAAAAGTACGATTGGTATATTCACTAGACATAATAAAAGAAATTTCCCAACAAGCATTCAAACAAAAAATTATAATATAAAAGTTCAAGAAATAAATAAATTTTTAGGAATTTATCTAGATCAAAAGTTGGCATTCAAGACACATATAGAAAGTATTAAAAAAAAGACAGAAAAAAGTATAAATATATTAAGAATGTTAAATAAAACTTGGAATGGTTTACATCCAAGTTCAGCATTAAACCTATATAGAGTATTAATTCGACCAAAATTAGATTATGGCTCTTGGATATTTAGTAACAGTAGAAAAATTCAAGATTTAGACAAGATTCAATATCGATGTCTTAGAATATGTATAGGAGCAATGAAGTCAACGCCAACAAATGTATTATTATTGGAAAGTGAAGAAATGCCATTAGAAATAAGACGAAAGCTCTTATGTGATAAATATATTTTGAAAAACATAATAAATAATGAATCTGTGTTGAATTACAAACTGATGGAAATATGGAGATGTATAGACAGGAGCACATATTGGATAAACAAAAAAGTACCAGACATTCTAACCAGCTTTCAATTTTTAAAGGATTATAGGAAATTTAACGTAGTCCATGGAGTTCATCCATACTATGAAAAATTGTATTATAATAAAAGAACGATTGTAGTCAAAAAAGAGTATAAAAAGTGGATAGAACACGATGGACCTAATAGTATAATTTTATATACGGATGGGTCGAGAAATAATGTTTCACATAGAGTTGGATGTGCAATATGGATTGAAAAGGAAAAAATACCCATATGTTATAAACTCCCGGAGTTTATTTCTATTTATTCGGCAGAACTAATAGCTATTCGTGAAGCTGTTAGAATAGCTAAAATGAATAAGTATAAAAAAACTATGATTTTAACAGATAGTTTAAGTTGTGTAAATAAATTAGAGAAGTTCATGAATACAATAGAATTTGAAGAAAAAATATATTTTGAAATATTGAATGATATAGAGATAATTACAGGGATGGGAAATAACATAAATATTGGATGGGTACAAGGTCATATAGGTGTGGAAGGAAACGAAAAGGCTGATGAACTGGCAAAAACAGCAAGTGTAAGCGGACAAGAATATAATAAATTAAAACAGAGGAGAGATGGAAAGAAGTATGGAGAGAAACATCGCAAAGAAAAGGAAGGCATTACAAATTATATAATGACTGTTTATCGATTAAACCATGGTTTGAGGAGTTTAAAAATGAAGAAAGAAGTTTTATTGTCACCATCAGTAGGATAAGAACCAAACACGGAAGCTATGCGAAACACTTGCATAGAATAAAAGTGATAAATTCAGATATATGTGAATGTGGAAAGGAAGAAGGTACTCTGGAACATATAATTCTGGAATGTAAAAAATATGAAGAAAACAGAAAAAGAATGTTAAATTATATATATATAGAAATTTAGATATTATCAAACCGTTTAACTTAGATCTAAAAATTTGTAATAAGAATATCTATAGAGTAATATATGAATTTTTAGTTAGATCAAAAATTAAAATATAAATATGTATATTTAAAATTATATAGAAAATATTTAAGTTAAAATGTATGTTATATGGCTAATTGTATAATAAGAGGAAGCCAATAAAAATAAAAATAAAAAAAAAAAATATGATAAATAGCGATATATCCAATACTTTGTTATAAGTTTTTATATATGTTTAAAATGTAATAATAATGTTTAAATTTAAATTTTGAACAAGATTTAAATGTATTCAAAATAATTAACCACATATCTGGACATAAAATATCGTGGGGACGTTTAATTTCTAAATCTCAGAGAGTGCCACAATGTTACCGTTGCCAATATCTCACACATCAGCATTTTGCAATATGAAATTTCGATGCGTTAAATGCACTAAAGAACATGCCCCTGGAGAGTGTCCTAAAACTGATAATGAACTACCTATATGTGTAAATTGCTCTGGAAATCACCCAGCCAATTTTAATGAATGCCGATATTTCAGAGAATATCTTGAAAAACGCACCGAGAAAAATGAAAGAAGAAAAAATTCTACAAATACCATTTCTTACATACCAGCTCCCACACCTAAACCACTTTTGAAATCATATTCCCAATCATTACATAACTTCCCCAACCTACCAAGACAGAATGTAAACACTGACAACAACACAAACACAGACGAATTCCCGACGAGTAACATGTTTGATACACTTAAAGACTTAAAAGAATTATTTTCAGATCCTACTGTTAAATATACACTTCAAACCTTACTGAAATTAGCAAATGACATTAAAAAAAACAACAACGGTTAAAGAAAAACAAAGTTTAGTATTTCAATGTTTCATTTCATTATGTATATAAATGAATCTAAATTTAATATTATGTATTGGAATGCAAATGGCATAACAAAAAATTTAGTAGAGCTAAACCATATACTAACAAATAATGATATACATCTTGTATTCATATCAGAAACTTTACTGAAAACTAATAATAAAATATATATACCTGGATACAACATATAATAATTAGATGTGATATCACAGAAACTGGCAAAAGTGGTATGTGCATGGCAATTAAATATAATATTAAATATAAACAGATACAAATTCCAAACTTAAAATCAGCTGAAGCGAAAGCAATAAATATCAACATTAACAATGAATTAACAACATTCTGTTCCATTTATATCCAATGTAATAAATTAGAAATACTAGATTTAACTAATATACTCAATTTAAATACTAAAATATTAATTGCTGGTGACTTCAATTCACGACATGAGTTCTGGAATTGTATTAATAATAATACTAACGGAAGACGTCTTTATAATTTTCTTGTACAAAACTCAAATGACATCACATTACATTATACTTCTTCTCCAACTAGATATCCTATTAATAGTTTGCAAACTCCTTCCATTATTGATCTATCATTAACAAAAAATATTCATACACATTATTTACCATATACAATATCTGAAACCAATTCCGATCACAACCCCGTTATCATATCCATTCCATTGCATGAAATTGAAATTAATAGTGAAAATAATACGAAATTTGACTTCAGAAAAGCCAACTGGGAATTATTCAGACATAACATGAACGAAAAAATAGGCATTAAACAACACATTGATTCAATACCTGAAATAGATATAGCGGTCCAAACATTTACAACAATAATTCAAAACTCAATGGAACTATCAATTCCTAAAGTAAATAACATAACATATGACAAACTTCCCGATCGTATTGATAAGAATAACTACTTATCAATACCTACCTATATACTCGAAAAAATTAAATATAAGAATAAAATTAGAAAAATGTGGCAAAAAACAGGTAATCCTGCCGTTAAAATGTTGTTGAATAAATTAATCAAAGATATTTCAATTAAAATTAATGAACACAAAAATAAAATGTGGAATGCCAAGCTTAATAATATTAATGTTAATCCAAACAATGTATAGTATCTTGCTAAAAAATTTACTAAAAAACAAGAAAGCATTCCCTGTCTGAAACTAAACTCTAATTACATATCAAATAATGAAGACAAGGCGAATATCTTTGCTGACGTCTTCGAAAAGATTCATAAACAAAATGATGGACTGGGAAATTCTGAATTACAGATTATGTCAATGCAAAAATAAACTCAACACTTTTAAACCCTCAAGATCACCTCATAATTAAATATACTACGCCAAAAGAAATTAAAAATATTATTCAACGAAGAAAAAATAAAAGCGCTCCAGGCCCGGACGGTATACCAAATATTGTACTTAAAAATGTAGGCAAGAAAACTATAATCCTAATAACGAAAATAGTAAATAGTATATTACAACTTAACTATTTTCCATCCATATGGAAAATTTCTAATGTCATACCTGTAAAAAAAACCAACAAGGACAGTGATCTACCCACCAGCTACAGGCCGATTAGCCTGCTAAGCCACTTAAGTAAAATAGTTGAGAAGGTAATTCACATTAGAATTAATAAGTTTTTATTGGAAAATAAAATAATACCAAATTTTCAATATGGGTTTAGAGAAAAACATTCTACTCTCCATCCGTTATCAATAATTACAGAAGAAACTATTCTCAAATTCAATCAAAGGAGAAATAGTGCAATGGTAATGCTGGACATTGAAAAGGCATTCGATACAGTATGGATTAGTGGTCTGTTATTCAAAATGATACAATTGAAGTTTCCAAATTATCTAATCAATATTATTAAGAGTTATCTCTGCAATAGAATGTTTTATGTTAGTTTATATAACAATAGATCTACCAATAGACATGTTACTGCAGGGGTACCACAAGGTAGTATACTGGGTCCTATATTATATTCTATCTTTGTCTCTGATATTCCAAATAATAATGACATCAAACTATTAATGTTTGCGGATGATATCGCAATTTTTCCTCAGGTATATCTGAAAATTCAATTATCATGCGGCTCCAAAATCAACTGGATAAAATTTTAAAATATGCACATAAATGGAAAATTAAAATAAATTATGACAAAACTGAATCAATTTTCTTTACCAAAAGACGAAAAAATCCAATACCATCGCTAACACTTCAAGTGCATGATATTGTAATACCATGGAATAATGAAGTTAAATACTTGGGACTGTCGTTGGACAGAAAATTTAATTTCAATGTACACATAAAAAATAAAATTAACCAAGCTAAAAAGATTTTGTACATGCTATACCCATTAATGAAATTCAGAAGCTGTCTTAATGTAGAAAATAAAAGAACGTTATACCTGACTATGATAAGACCAATCTTAACATATGGATGCACAATCTGGTGTATGACAAATAACCAGAATCTAGACAAGTTACAAAAACTACAAAATACTGCTGCAAGGATGATTATAGGACAATCAAGAAACCCAAGTACAAAACATTATATAAATACTACATTTCTTCATGAAGCCACAAATATACCATACATAAAAACCTACATTGACGGTATTTCAAAAAAGTACTATACTACATGTTTAACTAATCAGAACCCTACCATAAATAACATTGGATGCATACATACTTATAGGCCATGCTACTGCAAATACAAAATACCTTCCTCCATTAATAACTCAATAGATAATAGTCAAAGAAATAATTAATATTACTTAGTTAGCTATGAAAGAAATATTGTTTTTATTTTATTATTGTGACATAGTTATTTATTAACTTTTGTGTTCGTGTTTGTCGTTAATATTACAAAGAGTTGGTTTTTTTGTTGACATTTTTTACCAAAATTTAAATTTAAATTTAGTCTATTTTGAACTCTTTAATGTATATAAGTATAATGTGTATAGAATTTACAAACATAATTTAATTTAATGTATTGTTATCAATATGATAGATGTACATAGTTTGTAAGTCATAATGTTTATATAATGTATCTGAATCTGATTTGAAATAAAAAGTCTTTTTAAACAAAAAAAAAGTTCTCATCCGATCATGGTGTGTTTAAAGAACTTTGGACGTGGAAAGTAGATAAATTGGAGAGCATTTGAAGATGACTGCATTTGTATAATCACACTACTAGACACATACAAAATGTAAAACCGGTTGAGAATTTAAAAATACAATATAAAACTAGTTGGTTTGATATTTAGCCTTGAGGCAAATTACATGAACTTCCCGATATGTGTAAATAATCGACTTGATCAAAAAAATGTGTAAATAATATACTTCATCAATCCTACTTTGAAAAAAATGATAATAATTTTAGCAAAGTTTGACGAATTTTTAAAATTAAACTACTTGTTGTAAGGCCGTAATATTACAGTAAGTTCTATAAGACCATGATGTATATCGCCAAAAAAAGTTCCATGTAAAACGGCTTAAATTTTTTTTAACAGTTAATTACAAGAAAACGGCTCGGTAGATTTTCACCTAAAATTAATCAGAACCATTCCCATCTAATATCTTTCGAACAGTTTTTGATTTTTCAAAATCGGTTCGGCAGGATGAGCTTAAATGTGGACGAAAAGTTTAACACATTTTTTCAAATTGCAAAGAAACGGTTTGGCAGATCGTCACACAAAACTGATAAACGATAGTCCTCACCAAAATACATCAAATAGCTTTTGAATTTCTAAAATCGGCTCAGGCGTTTTTGAGAAAACGTCGATCAAAGGTCTAGCTTTGACAAATGCCAAAAAAACAATACCAATTTTTGCAAACCTTGACGAATTTTTAAAGCTGAACCTGTTGTCGTAGGGCCGTAATATTTTAGTATGATATAGAAGA